CAAACACAGAATAGTTCCAAAAGATATCTTAAGTTGTACCTCGTCTAAACAAAATAATTTTTAAAACCACCAACGGTTCCCACCGCGAAATAACCCCCCGTAGCCCCAATAAAGCTTGCAGAGAAAAACTGCTTGCAGAGCTGGTCTGCTCGGTGAAAATCCCTTACACGGGAGGTCTGTTAGGCGGGGGGCCACTGTATTTCAATCAAATGCTGGGGGCATTTATTAAAGGATACAGTACAGTACTGTATATGTAAATTCATGAAGAATTTTATTGGAAATCTCTGCTCCTTTCCAGCAGGCTGATACACCAGCAAACTAAATACTGTACACTGTGTACAGCAGTCATCAGCCAACTGTAGAAGCACCCATAAGAGGCCCCTCTACATCTTCTTCCTACAAAAGTGAACAGTTCACCTCTCCCACCCAAGCGCTATATAGCAGTCATTCCTGGTCTCCCATAGCCGCATGGGAAGACTACAGCATTTCCCTGATGGTCCCCGCCTTATTTGTGCGACATCAGACGCGTCGAGTTTCAACACACTCCTGGCTATCAGTATAAAGACGCCATGATGCTTTTTTGTCATATAAAGAAGAGGGGGCCACATTTTTTTTGTTCTCTGTGTCTTTCGCTGATCTAAAGCGTTGGACCTGCTTGAACTGACGACTGGCGAGCCAAAATGGACGAACAAAGAAGTCTTCCGTAACAGGAACTTTAGAATACCGACTCGGTAATTAGTGAGGGTAAAAAGAAAAAAGAAGGTAAGAACCATGAATTTAGTGATGTGAGCGGCGTAATTCTTTCACAGCAAGTCATTAGGAATGCTGTATTTTATTCGCGGGGTGCCCTGGGTTTTCCCCCGGCGGGTTGCGCGTGCATCCTATCCCGAGTTGTGGACCAAGGTAACTGGTTCAGGGTTGCCGATTCCGTTGCTCTTTTCTTATGCGTAAATCTTTGTTTGAAGACTTGAGTCATTTGACTGGTGGGACAGTGTGGTTATTTTTCTGTGAATTTGGCTTATAGAATAATTCCTTATTTTTGTTACTTTACTTTAGTGTCACTCAAAATTGTGAAGTGTGAAATCTGAATTTTACTCTCGAATTTAGATGAATTTCTAGTATTTCAGTCAAGGAATTATTTCTTCTGCATATGAAACCCTCTTTTTATGAAATTCCCTCTTGCCTATATGAAAAAATATTCTTATGCCAAATATCTCATTGTTTTTTCTTTCAAGCAGGAACTTACAATAGTTCAATTCCTACCACAAGAAAATCACATTTTTCTCATACAGCAGATAAACCTTGATTACTTGAATCTCCCTCAGTTGAATGTCCATCTAAGTTGAATTTTTTTCAGATCCCCATCTGAATTTCACTGGGAATAATACATTAACCCTTGGGTGGCAAAGTTGGACTATTTTTTCAAAATTTTGTTGCACTTCAGAGAGGTGAAGAAAAAAATGACAACAGGGGTTTAACGGCAAAGTTGGGAAAAATCCAATTTTTTTTCTCTGGGCATAGAAAGTTTTTGTGGGAACATTGAAAAAAATGCTCAGTGAGGCTAAGGGCCTTTTTGGGATTTATCCTGACTTTGCCTCAGCCCACCTGGAAGGGTTTTCCTGACCTTCAAAATTATGAAAATGCAAGAGGATACAAAAATAATCCAACTCCGTCCCACTATGGGAAAGAACCCTCTGCCATCCAAGGATTAAAAACCTCCCTAAGTCAAATGCTTTCCCCCTCAAACCTCTGTAAGTTGAATTTTCTGTGGTCTCTTGGCTATTGTTTTCTTTACACAAGAAATGAAAAAAGAATAGAAACAGAACTTGATGTGTTTCAGAAGGAATTTTAAGACTAAATTGGGCAAATGAACCCCTGTCTACAAGTTCAGCATTCATTCAACTCATTTTAGGAGCAATTTAAGCCCCAGAATACCACAATTTACAAATTTTGGAAATTTTTCCATGTTTCCCAGAACAAAATAGCTTTTTATTGTAGCTCAAACCTCAATAATTTAAAACTTCCCCAAGTCAAAACCTCCCTAAGTCAAATTTTTTTTGCTGGTCCCTTGAAAGTTGACTTAGAGAGGCTCAACTGTAAAATTTGTAAAATAGGTGTGAATTCAGGTAACATATAGGCATAGGTTTGGATTTCCAGTTTGAATAAGCCCTGGAAAAAATGACATTCTTTTGGATTGGGATACACTTGTCTATGGAAAATTTAAACTGAGGAAAATGCCTTTTTTGGAATTTTCACACTTCTCTCCTCAAAAATGTGGAAAAACGTGAGAGATGGGACATGTGAGATACACTTGTGTACAAACATTCCCTTCTAATTTTCAAAAATCATTGTGTGCATTACAGGTGGTACCTTTCAATTTGACATTGCCTGCAATTTGATCATCCATCATATGACCATTCTGCAATTCAATGGTTGAATTTGCTTGGACATTGACTTGAAATTTGACCTCTTGTTCCACAATTTTACCAGCAAAGAAACTTAAAATGTGAAATTCAATGTAGAAAACAAAGAATTTTAAGCATATGGTGAATTTTAAATTTAAAACCATTTTTGCTGAAAACTTGGGTGTGTGTCTTACATGGAGATTGATTTTTACTTAAATTTGAATTTAAAAAATGACAGTGTGTGTAGACTCAAGTGAATGCAGTATTTCACATGAGAAATTTGATACTGTATATGGACAAAATTCAACAGAAATGTGCCATATCATGCCATATACTCATTTAACAACATAAAGGGACACCTTATTGGGGCTTTGGAACCTTTTTTTGATTAATGGTGTTACTCAGCTTTACATCGCAGTTCCCGAAAAATATTGATTAGAAGTTTCGGATTACGGACTTGGGCCATTAAGCGAAGCATCACTCTATTCATTTGAAAAAAAAGATCCACCCTCTTTTTTTTATCGCGTTCTTTTTACAAAGTTCAGTTGCACAATCTTGGAACGTGACCAATTTTTCGCCGAGTTGTAGAAATCGGCAGCTGCGTCAGCTGGTCGCCGGCAAATACAGTACAAATAATCGCCATGTTCTCTTATTTTCCCACATATGGTAGTTCATTATTCATTTATTTATTTCATTTTTAAAGTTGCCTTTGTTCAGCACGGATTGAGATTTTTTTGGTCGCCATTCGCACGATGGGTTTTCCGCGTTTGTGTAACTTTTTTGTGTTATTTGTGCGTGTGTGTGTGTGTGGCTCAATGGCGTCATCATCAGCAGCAGCAGCACTTTACTTCCGGTGACACGAAGTCTTAAAGGACAACGTGTTGCGCTCTTATCGAGACCTTTACAGGGCCCTTTTATAAAGGCCTGCGTCTTCGACCACTTCCTGTAAATCTCCATGTAATTCATCAGCATTTAATTACATGTTCATTAGGGTATATGAAAGGATTGTTTTCCAGAATTAATCAGACGAGTGAGAGTCGTTTGGATGAGGAAATGGTTTCACTGAGAATTTGCGAAAATTTTCTATTTCTTCCTCACAATTGTCAGGAAGGAATTCCAGACAAGATAGATTATTAGAAATTGATTTGAGATTTATACGTTTTGAGTTTAGAAGATGCAAATAAAACAACGGACTTTGGTTGGGCTGCAACCAGGGTGAAAATTCATCCTATTTTAAATTTGTTATACAGTACTTCAAAAATGAACACAGATATTTGCAAAAATTTCTTGAGTGACACACATGAGAGCTTGGGCAGAATAAGTGAAGTTTTCACAGCAGATTTGGAAAACAGGAAAACTGTCCTCCAAGGACAAAAAACAGCAACTCGATTTAGCAGTAAAAAACAGCCTTTATCATGCAAAAATAAAACTTTTGAACAGCACGTGAGATTCAATTTTAAATTGCGTGAAATGGAAAACAAATTGTCGAAATTTCTCAAATAACAGTTATTTGAGCTTTACTTTCGCATTTCATTCCAAAAAAATCTCTCATGCTTTCCATAATGAAAAAATTCACTTTATTATATAAAAAAATTAAACTTTCGAACACGTGAGGCTCAAATTTAATTTGCGTGAAATGGAACAAAACTTTCCAAATTTCCCGAATAACATACATTTGAGATTTAAATTCGCTTTTAGTTTAAAGAAAATCTCTCTTGTTCTCCACAATGAAAAAAGTTCACTTTATTATGCAAAAATAAAATGTTTGAACACGCGTGAGACTCAATTTTAAATTGCGTGGAATAGAACAAAAATTGTCCAAATTTTTCGAAGAAGAGTTATTTGAGCTTTACTCTCGCATGTCATTCGAAAAAAAACATCTCATGCTTTCCATAATGAAAAAATTAATTTTATTACATGCAAAAATTAAACTTTCGAACAGGTGAGGCTCAAATTTAATTTGCGGGAAATGGAACAAAACTTTTCCAATAAAGAGCTTACGGTCAATAAACTCGAAATTAAAGCGTACGGTAATTTTTTTTAGAGAGTATTACAAGAGGTATTACTTTTTTTTCAAGAGAAATAATACGTTTTTATTTTGAAAAGTTGTGAACTAGAGGCTCAATTTTAAATTAATTTCAGCATGCACCGCAGAAAACATCGTAAGGCTCTATATTTTAACCCGTGCTCGTATAACGTATCCAACACAATATATATATAACATCACGCAACAAACCGTGCCGTACTTCAATTAATAATTTGAAAATTGCACGCAAAAAAAAAATGTACCAACAAGGAAGACGACCAGGGTTGTCCATCACAATGTCGTGCATTATTTCATGGAAAAGAGGGAACCTATGAGGAGGGGGGGGGGTTTGGGTTTTGGCACGCGATAATATATGAACTTGGTTGAATTCTTGATGCATTTATTCCGCGTCCGACCCGGTTGTCATATCGACCCTCACATCATATATGGAAGGAAAGGACTCAGGTACAAAGTCGATTTTTTTCACTCCCTATATAACTTGCTCATACATGTACAGTATATATACTGTATGTCTATGTATGTGGACATTCAGTTCTTGACTGCTGGCTTTTGGTGTTGGGTGTGCACAAATGGCGGCTGTTGTGGAGATTAGGATTGACATGGCCGACGATGATGACGACGGTGATCGAGACCCGCGGGAAAAATTCTGCATCACTCCTAATCGAGGTGGGACATTTTTAAAAAGAATTAATTGGAATAGTTTTTTTTTCTTCTACCTACAGTCAAAGTATAGGATGTTCATCCCATTTTAATTTGATTGCTTAAAGGAAATAAGAGTGTGCAATATTTAATCCCATGCCAGTCATTCAATTTTGACAGCACTGTATTTCCAAGTTTATAAACTTGGAAATACAGTGCTATCAATATTTAAAAATTCAGAACAAACCAATTTTTTTGGAATGTAGCAGGCAGGCATTTCATTATGCTGCCTGCTACACCAAAGAAAAGGGCATCCTAAATTTTTAAAGTACTGTATAGGCATAACAATAGAATGCGTCATAAATGCATTCCCAACGCATTGCACAACAAATTTTCATTACACCCCCCATGAAAATCAATGGAAATTCTGAAGGTGTAGCAGAAGAAGCTGGGTGTAACAGTTATGCATAACAAATGCATTATGTCAAGCGTAGCCGCTACATGCACCCAGCCCTTCTTGTAACAAATTATTTGCTGGGTTTGGCCTTTGAACAGAATTGTGGCCAAAAAGCCATTATAATGAGGTTATAGCCTAAATTAAGTTCCTTGAAATGAGATTTTCATAACATTGTGCCTATGGAAAACTGCCAATAACAAGGATCAAGAAAAAAATGTATTGTAATGAAAAATGTGTTTCAACAGTATTTGTTGTAATGAGATTTTAATGTATTTTCATTCAAGTCCTGTGCTGGAATTGCTTTAATCTGGCAGCTTTTCTCCAAAAATAAGTTCCTTGACAAAAGTTTTTTGTTACTTAACTCACTCTGCTGTGCATCACATTAGAAAGCAATAAGAGTGGTTTAGCTGCAAGTACAGTATAGAAAAGTGTGCTACAGTACTGTTTTCAATAAAATGAATTAAATCAAGTTTTATATTTACAGATGTTTACATTCTGGATGAAGAAAGGATATCAGATTCTTCTTTTGATTTGGGAAGCGACCAAGAAAAACAAAAATGTCTATTGGGAGGAGAAGATGAGAGAGTCCTGGAAGAAGTCTGTCTTCAATCAAAGGAACACAAGAAGAAGAAGAAACTCCAAGGAAAGAAGTCAAATAATGAGTTAATTTCTCAAAAACCAAAGGAGAAGAAAACCATTTATGCTGTTCACAAATGTCCAAAGTGCAAAGTAAGTCTTGAATTGTAACATGTACATTATTTATATATACAGCATAGGACAAGTAAGGTTCAAACAAAAGTCATCCAAAGTACAACAATCAATTTCAACAATATCCTGTGATACCAAATTTTACTTTTTTGCATTTCACCAATTCGAAGAGCTGTGAATCCATGTACAGTTTTGTTGTAATTGTTCTCCATTTCCTCAAGTCTTCACATATATTGTATTTTTCTCTTCATCCTCATTTTTTTTTTACTGTGCATTCGAAAGAAGGTAGCTTTTTTGCACACATTTTTCAGCATTTGCAAAAATTCTTTATATTAGATATAAGAGGTAATATCTTGTCGACTCAGGGGAATGTTCTTTCTTAGGTAAGGTTATACTAAAAAAATTTGGATTACGTATGTTCTCATGGTACACTTGGAAAGAAGACGTTTTCCGTTCGCAGATTTTTAATGCGCAAATAATCAGGCAAAAATTATTGCAAAAAAATCATGAATTGAAAACATGAGTGAAACTTGAAGGATGATTCTGTGCAGAACAATTATAATGAAATCATTTTTTGAGTTAGGTTTCCTCTTATTAGAAATATTTTTAGTTTTTTCAATTACTTGTTAATGAACATTTGAAATGGATTTTGTAGCCAGCAAAAAATGGGGTGGGATGGGTCTCACACAGGAAAAGGCTTTGGTGGCAATTTTCACGCAAAAGAATCAAGAAAGTTTATGTCATGAAATTCTTCATTATTGAGAGTGATTTCTGGTAATTCAGTAAATGCAGTTTCAAATTTTTTAAAATGTCATTTTGGTATTCAAAAATGATCTGGTTTGAGTTATGCTGATTTGGAATGGATTTGATGTGCTTCAGACACTCACAAAACATCATTAGACCTTGAAATCTGCATTTGGCTTTTAGTGAAGTTTGTTGTGAGCATACATTTTTGCTATTACTTACAATTTTGAGCTATCAATGTTCTGCAATGCAGACATTTCTGGGCTATTATATTAACTACAGTTGACCCTCATGCAACAGGATTTTTGCAAAACAGACTGCCTCTGGAGGCATGTTTTCTCTACTGCACAACAGAATAAATCCACATAACAGTCTTCTGTTGGTTTGAAATTAATGGTGAAAAGTAAAAATTTTAATTTTCAAACAATTTAATTTGCATAATAGATGTTTCACACAACAGAGTATAGTCTGTTGCACAAATTAAGTCTGTTGTGCAGGTGTTGAATGTATACTGTATATTCATGAAAGGTACCCTTATTTTCCATTTCACAAAAATATTTGTCCTGATTTTAAAAATCCAAAGTTTCAAGTCCAGACTTGAAGTTATTCTAGCATTTTCCACATAGATTTGTGTAGCTTGAAAACAATTAAGCATATGCGAGTTTCTTTTTTTTCCCCAATAATACAAAAATTCTTGTATGCCAAGTTCCTATTCTGTTGAGCAGCTACAATTAAAATCTATTGCAGTATTCTTCGATGGTTGGCTTGAGTAAATTTTAAATATGCACTAGCATCATATAATGTATGTTGAAATCCAGCATGAATAACTGCTGGGAATAAAATGAAAAATGTTTCCGAGACAGAAACGGTGTTCAGAGTGCAAACAAAGCTTTCCGATGATGTTTGCGACTTTCGACGAAAATTGCGAATTTTGTGAGGTGAGAGAATAGTTTTCTGCAAAATTTTGACTCTTTATTCAGAGCTGATGGAGCGCAAGAGAAATTCCCGTAATTTTGTTCGTGTACCGCCGCATTTGCTTCAAAATTGATCTATATAGTTTCTTGGAAACATCAGTCAGTATTTTTCCATTGATATGCTCACGTTGTAAAAAGTCTTGCATTTTTCATAAGCTAGTTGGAAAGCACAAAAATGTAAATGCATCGTCTGAAAAAGAGATTAAAGTATTCACGAGATGAAGGTTGCATTTTCGTATCTTCGTTAATCTTCGGAAGACTCCCATTGCTTTACTCGCGCCGTAACTTTTTTGTCCGGGGTTTCATCGGAAAACTCCGAAAAGATTCAAGCTGCTCAGTATTTTCGAAAGACCTCATCAATATACGGTAAAACACTTCGTTTTTTCACTGGATGATGAGAATTTATTTCTATTTATTTCGAAATTATCGTCATATGACCTTGGGTTCAAGAAGAGCAGCAGATGGTTTGTGAATCCAAATTTCCTGGAGCGTCTTGTAATCGAAGTTTCGAAAGTACGCCGTGAGATGTGTTCCTTCACGCGGAATCTTAAATTATAAATCAAGTAGAACATTTTGGAATCCAATGCTGATCCGATCGAATCAAAGCAAAAAATGATTTCACGCATGATTTCCAGGAAACCCGAAAGACGATTTATTGTTCGTAAAGCCTTCAACGTTGGTTGAATAGAGCGGAAATAATGTCATCAACTTGTTTTCCGGAGAACGACTCGTCGCTTCGATTATTACAGTCTTTTATGTTCATCATCATTGCACTGCATTTTCTGAATTTTGAAAACAGAATATTCTTTTAGGATGGTGTTCTGGCCACGGAATCGACACCATTGATTTGTATTTTCTTCGGATTTCTCACGCTTCCTATGTGTTGTTTCGGATTATTCTGCTTCAACACGAAGAAGAAATGCTACGACTGTTCAGCGAAGCATCAACCAGGGATGCCGAAGATCATTTGATGGCATTGGCGTTGCACGTACACAGTTCAAAACGATAATTTTTATTGTGTTCGAAAGTTTGTGATTTATGAATCGTGGGATGACTTATGCACATGTATTGATAAATGAAATGCACATTTTTGTATGATTTTTGGAAAAAGTTGACGCGAAATATCCAGGCAGTTCGCTCTGAATGTATCTCTCCTACAGAAAACGTTGAGTTTGTTTATTTCATTTCATAGATGTCACTAGCTCTTCAAGATGTAGGACAACAAAGTGAAATGGCGTTTATCACCCTGAATTTTTGTTCGAATTTTTGTTCGATAAAATTGAAACTGTCGATGAATTCTTAGAAATAATTTTAATTATTTAGGCCTTTAAAATCTCCCCATAGAAGAATGCATATATGCAGCGAAGAATAGTGGTGATATTGCATTTCGGAAAAATTTGAAATTTTCCCTGAAATTCCTAAAGGTTCATCACATTTCATGCGTAAAATCTGACCCTGCGGAATTAATGCACACTTTGGAAAAATAAATTGCGTCCTGTTCGTTTTATCAATCATGTCCATGCTTCGACACAGATGCTGTGGGGAAGACCTTGTTTTATCAGAAGCATATTGTGATGCTGGGGGCGTGTATAAGAAGCCATGCAAATCATGAGCACACAGCTGATGAACATGAGTGTAATCCATTCTGATGCGTCGCTCTCTTGTACTTCATGTTATCTTTGAGAGATGACGCTGTAAGCGCCTGGTACTGCAACCCGTACGAGATTTCAAGGTCACTGTGGTCCTGACTCATACATGAGCATCAGACTTCAATTGCGCATGATCATGAATTCGTGACAAAACGAATTTTTACCTCAATATAGCCCTGAATTTGTGTAAAAATTATTAGTGATCATCTTTCGAACCGGTTTTGACTGCATGCGCGATATCCAGCAGCTGT